GATACACTTATAATAAACCCGAAAAAATATTGTTATATAATTCAAGTGATATACGTATTGAGAAAATAGTATGCATTGGTACCAAGGCTATTTTTCTTACATCGGATGGACAGGTATATCAATGGCACTATAATTCAATAGAAACACAAAAACCAATTGAAAAACAATTTCCCGTTGAATACAAAATTGTGGACATTATGTCCTGTTTTAACCACTCGTTTGCCGTTACATCTAGGGTGACCAGAAATTTTTAGAACATTGGAGGACATTTACTCAAAATTTAGTTCTTAGCGGAGGACGCACGGAGGACACGTTATTTTTTGTATCAATTGAAGGGTTTATATCTCACATGATATTATGTTTTTAATATGGTTTTAAATGATTGAATATGCGTTCAAAATAGACAAATAGATATTTTGGCATAATTTAGCTGAACAACCAAATTTTTAAAATATATAAAATACTGGTTTATTTTAACCTAGATGATGTAATTATATAATTCTAGTAGTAGATTAGTGTTAGATTATCAAAAATATTACATAGGGCAGTGTTAATAATATTGTATTACTCATTGTTTAGTAAGAATTGAAAGTTTTCAGGTTTTGGGCTCATTATAAGTTATACCTTTGAATTACTAATTACTGTAATTACTAATGTGAATACTATATGTAATATCTTAGGTTTTTAACCATAAATAGCTATAACTAATATATAAATTAAAGATTATGAATACTACAGGATTATGTATATAGTTCATAAAAACATGATAAGATTTTTAAATATAATCATATAAAAAGAGAGACTAAAAGATATTATGTATAAAAAGTATATTTATATCTCCAAAACCGTAACGGAGGACAAAGTATAGTCCTCCGTAAGGTCAACGGAGGACGGTACCAAAAATGGTCAATTGGAGGACAATCCTCCGTAACGGAGGACGTCTGGTCACCCTAGTTACATCCAATGGAGAGGCGTTTATGTGGGGATTAATGGCCACCAATGAGCGAATAATTACACCAAGATTATTAAAAAAATGTATCTAATATACGTATTGTATTAATGCACATGTATTCTGAAATAATTATGTTATCAAATGATAAACACGTTTATAAATATGATTTGATTAGCGAGAAAAGTATTTTGATTAACAACTTATTGTTTACCGACAGATACACTTATAATAAACCCGAAAAAATATTGTTATATAATTCAAGTGATATACGTATTGAGAAAATAGTATGCATTGGTACCAAGGCTATTTTTCTTACATCGGATGGACAGGTATATCAATGGCATTATAATTCAATAGAAACACAAATACCAATTGAAAAACAATTTCCCGTTGAATACAAAATTGTGGACATTATGTCCTGTTTTAACCACTCGTTTGCCGTTACATCCAATGGAGAGGTGTTTGTGTGGGGATTAATGGCCACCAATGAGCGAATAATTACACCAAGATTATTAAAAAATGTATTATTATATGCATAACATAATTACGTGTACATAAGACTTTATTAATACAATAGTTTACTATTTGTGCAAATATTTATACTAAACTAATCGCTCTTTTCATAAAACTAATTGTTGAATAACAAATGGCTGCTTGTCCGATTACATGGTAGATTTATTATTGTTGGCATAAGTGGTGATAAAGTGTACGAATATAATGAAGCAAACAATGTATTTATTGAGACAAAATATGCAACATTTGATGAATTTTGCATTTATGAACATCAAGTTACTTATGAAACCATTGATATCACTAAACATAACATTTGTGTTCAAACAGTTAATATAGCACAACATTATGGTAAGAAAATCATTAGAATTAAATATATTATTTAAATTGTAATTAATTTTTTATCTCAGAAATAGATTATAAAATAAATAGTATAGAAATGTATGAAATGTTGAGAAGTTTAGGCGCCGGCGGTTTTGGATGTGTGTATGAAATGAGATATAAACACAGCGAAGAGGATATACATGTGCGATTAAAAAATGCCAATTAAATGGTATTAATTTTATTATTAAAATAATTTAATTTAATTTATTAATTATAAATTTGTCTAATTTTAAGGCCTCACAGAAAAGCATAAACAAAATGTTTTGAATGAAACGCAAAACTTGATAAAATTGCGATCAGAATATGTGATTCAATATTACTATTCATGGATTCAATACAACTGTTTATACATTCTAATGGATTGTTTGGCCGGAAATTTATCACATGTTTTACAAAATAAAAGAGCATTATTTGGGAAAGTAATGACTGAATTTGAATATTATATATCATATGAAATATTCCAACAATTGGTGGAAAGTGTGGAGTATTTGCATAAAAATAATATCATTCACAGAGACCTTAAACCCGATAATGTGTTGATTACTAACAATTATAAAAGTGGTTCTAAACCTAAAAGATATATAAAGTTATGTGACTTCGGTTTGTCTAAAGAAGTGCATGTATTGAGTGATGTATACAATCAAAGTATTGCTAAACACACCGCAGATGTAGCTCTATATATGGCACCGGAAGGACAGACCACTGAATACAACCATTTAATAGATGTCTATAGTCTGGCACTCATTGGAGCGAAAATATTTGGTTTTGATTCCGACGATATCAGAGACGGAGTGTATGTAATGACAAATTATAACAATTAATTTAAGTATAATCACATTTATAGCATATTCTCAGTAAAATGTTTCACGTATCTATCTATCTATCTTGTATGCAATTATATTGATATACAATGTAATATAAATATAAACAATTAATTTCTATGTTCATTTTTAGATTGAATTGCAATTTAGAAAATAATAATAATCTTAATAACAAATTGTTAGAAATGTACGAATTATTGCTTTCAATGAGTGTTAGTATATATACAGAGAGTTATGGAAAGACTGATTGGAGACTAAGACCTGAATGTGAAATCATTTTACATAAATTAAACGTATTATTGATTGAAAAGAAATGTACGAATTATTGCTTTCAATGAGTGTTAGTATATATACAGAGAGTTATGGAAAGACTGATTGGAGACTAAGACCTGAATGTGAAATCATTTTACATAAATTAAACGTATTATTGATTGAACCGATTATTGAGAAAAATGATTTATTATTAAATAATATAATTAAAAATAGATTTAAACTATTTTTCAATTATTCTCTTAAATGTCACAACAAATTTGTTATTTGCCAAACATGTGATGTAAATATTGGTAAATTTATTTTTGTTTTTATATTTATTTTTCTTTAAGACACATAGAAATTAATTTCTTATGTTATTACAGATCTTGGTCAAACTATTCTATCGTGTGTAGATCAGGGTCATACATTTCGATCGAAATACTTACAAGATAGATTTTTTAAAACACAAGATACTGTAACCAAAAAGTTATATTACGTAAGAAAATTTAGAGAATATAGTAAGTGTTAAATTACTACAAATAATTTAATATTTATATTTTATATTACCTCGTAATAAATAGTCTTTAAAATTTATGCACAAATAATATAATAATCTAACATTTTACTTTACAGATCCGGATAATATTAAGTATAAAATACAATACATAAGAAAAATATTTGCATTGAAATCACCATATTTGCTACAAATTTATAATTCTTGGTTTCAAGCACATGATATTCTAGTGGGCGAACGTGGTGTATGTATTATGCAATATTTACAAAAAAATAAATTAATTATTATTATGTATACTTAAAGAACTATAGGTTTGAGCACAAAGATATGTACATTCAATGTGAGTATTATTCGCAAACTCTATGGGATGTCATAAATGCAAAGCACGTGATATTTGGGACACAAACCCATCACTCGTTGGCAATCATTTCAATTGATTTCCTTATTTCACAGCAATTGTTGAGACAATTATTACATTGTATTCAAGGAGTGGTTGCTTTGGATATAAGTAGTAATAACTTATTGCTCGATAAAAAAACACATATTTATAATTAATGACAATATAATAAGTGAACATTTTATGAAAATTAATTTAAGTTATTGGAATTTGACATAACGTGATATTTGGGACACAAACCCATCACTCGTTGGCAATCATTTCAATTGATTTCCTTATTTCACAGCAATTGTTGAGACAATTATTACATTCTATTCAAGCAGTGATTGCTTTGGATATAAGTAGTAATAACTTATTGCTCGATAAAAAACACATATTCATAATTAATGACAATATAATGAGTGAACATTTTATGAAAATTAATTTAAGTTATTGGAATTTGACATATGATAAAACTTATGCAACAATTTTCACGAACAATAAATTAAAAGCATTTGGAAAAATTATCAAGAGCTTATTTGAAATACAATTAACACATAATGAGTATTAATATTTTATATTACATTTTAATTATAAATACTTAATATAATTGATTTAAATTCCATAGAAATGGTTATCATAACATTGATTACAAGTCATTCATTTGGGATAATTTTAGTGTAAATGTCGATAAAATTGAAACATTTATTAATGGATTACTCGAGGGATCAGAAGAGAGAACACGAGATATAAAGGATATAATGAATGAATTCAATGAGATTTTTGGTGAAAATGCAAACCAAATAAACGCTAATATAATCTCACGGATGAAAAGTGCAATTCTGTGGCGAATTCCTATATTTAACGCAAAATTAATTGAATATAAAACAATATATAATTATTTAAACAAAATAATTAAGCTTCAAAAACAGTAATGCGTTGATTAATAAGGTAAAAATAATTTATAAATAATTTAAAAATTATTTTATTTGATAATAGATTTACACAAACTATTGATTTTTATTGTGAGACACCTATTCGATAGACTCAATACATTTGAGACATAAATAGTATTTTTAGTTGTTTGTAATAAATTATTAATATATAACTTTATACCAAAACAACCATATACTCGTTGTAGTAACTATGTGGTTTGCTTTTATTATAATTAAATATAAACATTTTATTAATGATTTGTAATGATATCATTATTTATAGAATATTCTGTTAAATATTGAAACTATTTTTATAATTTATATGTATTTTATAATATGATACAAATATTTAAAATTTAAATAATAATAATAATAAAATTCTGTGCATTTAAATTATGCAATGTTTTGATTATGTGCAAAAGAAAAAGTTCATATTCTTGTCAGCCGTGGTTTACGTGACAAACGAGTTATACATTTGCAGTATTTCAAGGTTTATAATATTATGAGTGAGAGAGAGAGAGAGAGAGAGAGAGAGAGA